CCCCGAGATATAATATTATTTTCAAACGTCTCTGATAGTCTGTGGGGGGAAGGGTAAGGAGAGAGAGAGGGGGAGGGAAGCTCCCGTCAATTGGTGAAATCATAGATTACAGACTTTAACTAACTCGAGTACGCGATGATCAATGGATTTAACCCTGAGGCTCCTCGAGGAATCCCTTTAATCATTTGAAGAGACAGGACAACCGAACTGGGTTTTGAAAAAGTTTCTTTTATTCTCAGTGCAACAGCTTCATACAGCCGATCAAAGTTTTATGACGTAACAACTTCCGTGAAAATGGTTGGTTATTATAAGTACTGATCAGTCCCCTTATTGTAATCTTATCCCTTTTTTACATACTTTTATATTTAAAGTATTTAATATTATGTACCCATTATATCAGTTTAACCATTTGTCTATATACGAAATTCAGCCTTCGGGCTGCGATGAATATGGCCATTAAACTATCTGTCTATCTCTATATATCAATTGGATTTGTCTCGAAAAAATCGCAAATGATGATGTTAATAATAATGAAAAAGATAACCATGTGCAGATCCCGCAGCCGCTACATTTTCTCCTCCCTTTCAGCCTTAGCCACTCAGTTGTACAACCATTCAAAGCCAAATTACTCTTTTTGATTTCGGCTTTCCAAATTCGATCCTTTTCCCGCAGCAAGGTATCCCATAATCATCTTCAGCTGCTTCAGTCTCCTCGATGGTTTGGTGCATGGGAGAGAAAAGCGTCTCTGGAATCCAGTACATCAATATCCCGGCAAGAGTTCCCACCACTGCGAAGATCACGACCGGAAACATTAAGCTTAGACCTGGTAACTGACTCTAATGAAGAAAAATGGCATTCAGCTATGTTTGCTACCCGACCGGTCATTTTTTTTTTATCTCGGGGGAAGGGGAAGGGGAAGGGGGGATGGAGGATCTTGGTTGTGTCACGATAAAATTTACCGGTTTCCCTCAAAGCTGTGTATTATTCTAATATAAATGTTGTGCCGCGTAACACTAAGAACACAAATGATGGAACAGAGAATTAACTCCTAAGCGTAAATTAAAGTGCTAAATGAAACCCATGAAAAACCCATTGAGCGTTAGCCCTAGTAAAGGGTATCAGGGATCCCACCGAGGTCACAAGAATTTTTTCTTTACCTCGTGTGGTTCCCTGATACCCTTTACTAGGGCTAACGCTCAGTGAGTTTTTCCTTGGTTTCATTTAGCACTTCAATTAACGCTTCAGAGTTACTTCTCTGTTCCATCATTATTATTATTCTAATGTTTCCCCTCCTCATTGGCAGTAAAATAGCGGGCAAACTTCTGTAGTCCCCCCTTTAAACCCTAACCCAGTTGGCGCCGATATTGATCCCTCCCCTGTTCCCCCCCTGAAAATTTCATGATCCCCAAAATCCCACCACCCTCCCCTCGGTGATAATTAGTGACTGGTACCTTAGTTTCTGTTTCGTCCAATGAAGTTAACTTTTGCAGCTTCTCGCTGACAGTTTGAGTTTCGACTTAATTACTTGGAAAACACTAGAACTGCACGCAAATAATAACCAAACGTTTTTAAAAGCTTCGATGGGTTTTCTGACCAATCAGAGAACACGTTATATTTCAGTTCTTTTATAATGAAGTGTAGCCACTATAGTTTACGCTGAAAAGAAAACCCCACAAATCTGTTTCGATATCTTAACACTGCGATTATATTATCAGTTTGGATTGGCATTCATTAATGAACAGTTTTCTGCACCTAGTCCAGTTCCCAACAAAAGAGAAAACAGCTCACCATTGTTGCAATGTACGGAGCTAAGATTCCACCAACTCGAGCAGCTGTAGATCCTGTTCCTTGGGCCGTGTTCCTATGAAAATAGAGGTCTTAGAATGAGCAGCAAGATAGAGGAGAATGTATACCTCTGACATATGCGTTGAAGAACAAGGTGGAGAGGGCGACAAACTTTTCATCCTATCTTGAAATCTCGTCAGTCTTTGCGACGAGTCTCAAAGTCTTTTTTATGGTGCATGTGTTTTATTTCTGTCACGAGGTCTAGCAATTATTTTAAATACGTTCTCAAAGTCCGGAATCTCTCCCTATATAACTGGGAATTCCGGCCGAAAAAACTTAGCAAAGTGGGTTTGAGTTACACTTGTGAGTGACGGCTGTCTTCAGTTTGTGTAATCGCTATTTGAGAATATTGCCACGTAGCAGCTAATATCTCGCAAAAACGAATGCAAAACAGACGTGATAACAACTCTAAAGTTGCATTTACCTGTCATAAATACATTCAGCACATCCAGGTAATCTGAGTAAAGCGACGGATATACTAAGGAGTTTTTAACAGTCGATCCTCACATCAAATTAAAGCACCCCCCCTCCCCCCTGTCTGAGCTTTGGACAAAGGATGATATTAACTTACCTCAAGACAGTTGGAAAAAGTTCAGACGTGATGAGGTAGACACTGATCCAAGCGCAATCAATTAAAAGGTATCCAATGATGGAAAGTGCAGTAGTTGACGTTTCATGATCTGAGATTAAATTAGTTACGATTAAACGTTCATATATTACATCATAGCGGTCAAACATCTGTACATGAGCGATGTTAAGGTGGCTCAGCCGAGATTAAGCTTACAGCCAAGTTTAGACTTCGAGTAGTCCTTGCTTTCTGACGAAGCTTTTAGTGCGCATCAAAAAATATCAGTGAATAAAAACGTTGCTGTAAGCGCACCGCGCGGAACTCTGGGAGTGAGGCCCACCAAAAGTGGTTTCGTAGTCTAGTCGAGTTGAATTTCAAAAGTTAAAAACAACAGCATAAGCTCGTGAGTCGACATTTATGCAACGGAGTCCATAAAAAGTTATAACATGGAGTAGTGCAGAGAATAGAATATTCAAACAGTAAAGGACTTTGACAAAGTCGCGAGTTTGCATAACGTCGATCGAACATTCTTCTCCTCTCCCCGCTCTACGAGCAGACAAGGGATAAAACTTCTATTCATTTTGTAAAAATATCTTTTTGAGTACTCGCGAGTGTAAACGTTTCAGCTATGTTTATGTCTAACACATCTGTCGGCAAATGAGAGCATGTGCACGATCTCGGTTACGTCAGAAAGTAGAGGAATGGAGAAACCATTCTATTCTTTCAATTGTTAGGTAAGTCAAACCCTCATAAAACATGACTTTCTTTCGATTTACACTTTACCTTTGTACAGAAACAAAACCAGTAGGAAGGTGAATCCCACCAGGAATAAGGTGACAGCATGAGAGGCTCGGCGGCCAAACCTGGGAAGAGCAGACATAGAGTAAGCAAACAAGTGAGTGAGTGAGTCAGTCAGTCAGTCTGTCCGTCTGTCTGTCCGTCCGTCAGTCCGTCAGTCTGTCTGTCTGTCCGTCCGTCCGTCGGTCAGTCAGTCAGTCCGTCCGTCAGTCAGTCAGTCCCTGAGTCCGTCAGTCTGTCCGTCTGTCAGTCAGTCACTCAGTCCGTCCGTCCTTCCGTCCGTCCGTCAGTCCGTCCGTCCATCAGGCAGTCAGTCGGTCAGTCAGTCCGTCAGTCATTTAGTCAACAAACTAGTCAGTCAGTCCGTTAATTAGTAAACAAGTCAATCATTCAGTTGGTTAACTTACAAACTTGTAACTTGTAAAACCTATAAATGATTCTGAGTGGTGATGGTTGATAGAACTTGACTTGACTGACTTCGATGGTTGAAAAGATATATACGGTATGCAAGCATGCGAGAAAACATATGTGCTGGTTATGGTAAGAGGTGGCGCTTAACGTGCTAACACACGTTTGAGTGAAGAAATAATAAAGAAAGAAACAGCTTTTCCTCCTTACTTTAAATACAGGTACCAGGTTGCTGGAAGCTTGACGCATGCAACCGCCTCCATGATGAAGTAGTTGGCGTAAATGTTGCCGACCAATTGATTGACAAAAAGAAATATTCCAAAGCTTACCAAAGCTACAGCGAACCTGTGGAGATAATCGGTCACTTGAAAGATAATTTGTAATACAAGAACATTTTTGTTGGTGAGAACAGCAAGGGAGACATTACGCGACCTGAAGCTTATTTAAAGGGCATGGTTTGCCAAACCTTCAAGTTACCTTTGCAAGGACAAGCTCCATGTCGCCAATTTTTTGACTGATTAGAAACTCGCCTTACGAAGAAAGACTGGCCATGCTTGGGTGGTCCAGTCTTCACTCAAGGAGGTCTTATCTATCTTTGCTAGAGTGCTACAAGACTATTCATGGTCTTAATGGCCTCAACTTTAATGATTATGATTTTGAATTTAATTGTTATGGCAAAACTAGATCAAAACATTCATTTAAATTAAGACAGCCATTAGCTAGAGTAAATTTTCTTTTTGCACTCATTCTTTGTTAGAATTATAAAACAGTGGAATGCTCTTCCCAAAGAGATAGTGCACGAACAGGATTTCAACATTTTTCGTAGTAAACTTAGAAAGTATTGTAAAGTTTCGTATTTTTTTTAAATCATTTTTTTACCCATTTCGTCATGATTCTTAAATTTTTACATCATAGTACATATATTTTATATTTTACATGTAAGGGGCGTCCTCGATAGGGATATCCCCCGACGTTTCCTTTTACGTATGCTCCGCTAATAAATTGATTGATTGATTTGTTCGCGATTCAGAGTAGCTACTATCACTCCAACTCATTTTCGGCGTTAGGACAGAGAGAGCGAAAAAAAGGAAAGAAAAGAAAATATCTGGAGAAAGGGTGTTAAGATAAAATACAATGAATTAGATCAGAATATAAAACATTCAGCATCACCATTGAAAACAGAAAATCATCGTCCATTTCCTCAGTTTTGAGCTGCGAATCATATCAATTGGTGTGTATTTTTTAGCCTCCTTCTCTCGTTCCAGCTGGTCTTTCCTGACATCCTCCAGGAGAGATTTCAATGCCTCTGAATCGATAGGATAATAACTACAAGACTTTGCTACTGAGTAACACATTGCATAAAGCCCTACAGCAGAGCATTGTTTACAAGAGCAGTTGTGTTGTCTCAAACTGTTGACTGAAGTTATTTCATATGTACTTATCTGCACTCCTCAGAGTTCATAATTGTCATTGAGGGAGTCTCTAGTCTGGAAATACTGCACTAAGCCCTGAATAGATGGTACTTCGAATAGTACACATGTACCTGAGAGATGGCTTCTACCATATTCGTCTCTTGTATGAGAATCAATTATCTTATAACTCCCATTATCAGTACAACAGATACTGACACTGTTTATATTCTATTGTCAGAATAAATGAAGAGCAATTTTGTGACATGAGTGATTCAAAATCCCTCTCTATAGATGTACTGTACTGATATTCCTCAATTATTGAATCACAATAATGTAGATTAACAGTGTAGCTTTCACTTTACTTAAGTTGGTAATTTTTCTCAGACAAAGCAATCATTGACAGTAATTCTGTTTGCATTAAATACAACTGCCCTGTACATCATGACAGTGTTGAATACAATTGATTACCCATCTCCAAAATTTGTACCAGGTATGTACTCCTTTTATCTTATTATAAATCAGAGCAATCAAACTCATAGCAACACATTGTTTTACAGCATTTTCATCAAAGTACATAATATCACCTTGACTATATGGTGCCTTGATTGTTAGAATAGGATCAATACCATGTATAGGAGACCCACAATTTGTTTCAATGTCATTGCACACATTCAGTGTAGCACAATGACCTCTGTGGCTTGCATTCTTGTACANACCATTTACATTCTATTGTCAGAATAAATGAAGAGTAATTTTGTGACAAGAGTGATTCAAAAGCCCTTTCTGTAGACATACTGTACTGATATTCCTCAATTATTGAATCACAATAATGTAGATTACCAGTGTAGCTTTCACTTTACTTAAGCTGGTAATTTTTTCTCAGACAAAGCAATCATTGACAGTAATTCTGTTGGCATTAAATACAACTGCCCTGTACATCATGACAGTGTTGATTACAATTGATTACCCATCTCCAAAATTTGTACCAAGTATGTACTCCTTTTATCTTATTATAAATCAGAGCAATCAAACTAACAGCAACACATTGTTTTACAGCATTTTCATCAAAGTACATAATATCACCTTGACTATATGGTGCCTTGATTGTTAGAATAGGATCAATACCATGTATAAGAGACCCACAATTTGTTTCAATGTCACTGCACACATTCAGTGTAGCACAATGACCTCTGTGGCTTGCATTCTTGTGCACACTTGTTAATGTATTACAGATATACAAAGATAGATATTTGCTCAGTCTCTACAACTCAACAATTTTCGATTCAGTGTTGACTGTTTAGAATGCCATTTCTTTTTCATCTTTTGTACAAACTTAATACTGTCATTACTGTTCCTTTTTCTAACTCTGCATTTGATGTAGCAATACATTTTTGATGAGTTAGGAATGTTTTTAAGAATACCCCCGCACATCAGTTTCTTTATTTACTTGTTTTTACGTGAAAGCTTTTCTAGTTTTTTTTTTGCTCGCATTCTGCTATGCTCACGATTGAATCGTCTTCACACATGGTAATCACCACTGTTAATATCACAACGATTAAAAAACACCGCATGATGAGATCTGAATTCTTTTGCATAGTTTATTTCTTTTGTAACATCATTTTGTTGCGCACACAACGCCGATTACCCTGGCTCCAGAGGTTTCTCTTTTTCTCCCTGTTTACAATCCTTTCGTGTTGCGAAGCAGCGAGATTGGCCGAGCTGCATAGCAGCGTCTCTTTTTCTCGGAGCTGCGAGCGAGAATCTCGCTGCTTCGCAGCCCGAAAGGATTGTAAACAAGGAGAAAAAGGAGAGAAAAAGAGAAACCTCTGGAGCCGGGGTAAACGCTGATTCGTCACACTTTTGTTCTATGCATGGCGCTACTTTGTCCAAATTATACATCATCACATTCATTTGACACCGCGTCATTAATATTTGGTACCAAACAAACATTCCTGCCTAACAAAAACGTGAATTTAATATTCGCACAAAAGCGACATAACTAATGGAACGAACAGAAAAATAGCAGCGGATAATTAAATATACTCTGTTTGAGCAAAAGCATACCAAATGTAAGCTTAATAATCACGATAGAGGACACATAAATATAACAATTACGTTTATCCTCACTGATGAAAGTCCAACATGGCATCTTTGTTGTCGTTTCCCAGGATTTGATCACGAGGCACCTTGCATTTATCCTGACGCTGTGTCGGACCGAAAGCTCGAATCAAACAATTTTCCTCGAAGTGCACCGAGCAAATCACAAATTAAGCCTGTGGTTGTGGAAAGGAATTCTTCCTTTTGATTCTAACAAACCGGACGCACAGATCTCTCGTTCTGTAGGTTGGACTCGCATGCAAAGCCACTCTTGCCGCTTTGTTGGTGCGGTTGCTGCAGCCCTGAACAACACAACGACTTCCTACCATATTGAGTTGAAAGATTTACGTACTTTGCTAAAACATAAACTCGCTGGAATTGTCTAAGAAATTAGCCATGTGTCGGGTTTGACTTGGGAAAACAACGTCACCAGGTTTCCTGCGAAGTTTCTTGCGACCTGCCCTCAGGCATTGGTAACCAGATCGTAGGAATAATGGTGGAATAATGACGGATTAATGGT